TAGATTGCTTTGGGTAGTATGGACATTTTAATGATGTTGATTCTACCAATCCATGAACATAGTATATTCTTCCATTTGTTCATGTCTTCCTCTATCTCTTTTTTCAGCATTCTGAAATTTTCTGAGTACAGGTCCTTTATCTCCTTGGTTAAGTTTATTCCTAGGTATCTTAATTTTTTTGTTGTAATAGTAAATTGGATTGCTTTTTTAATTTGTCTTTCTGTGAGTTCATTATTGGTGTATAGAAAAGCCATAGACTTCTGGGTGTTAATTTTATATATGGATATAAAATTCTTAATTGACAATATTTTTCCTGCAGTATTTTAAATATGTCATTTCATTGCCTTCTGACCTCCAGAGTTTCTGAGAATTCAGTTACTAATCTCATTGAAGATTCCCTGTATGTGACAAGTTGCTTCTTACTGCTTCCTCTGCCACCAAGGCTAATACTATACAATTGTGGCTCTTTGTAAGGATACCTTGTTAACTAGTTTTGATGCAAATGCTGCCCATGGGTTTTTGCTTTTGCTATTTGGTTACTCTATCTTTTCTAAGAGGGGATTCAGGGAAATTAAAAAACCATGGCACCACTGTCACCATCTTCCTAGATTTTAGAGCATATTTTAAAAGCCCTTAGAATTTTTCTACAGAAAATTTTCTTGAACAAAATACCTTAAAAACTGTATAACATTTTCAGAATTAAAACAGGTGAAATAGAAAAAAAGGATCATTTGGTCTGCTTACCTCAAAAACTCTGAAAAACCTGTATCTTGTTTTATAATCGGTCCATAAGACCACCAAAAAGGCATTAATTGAGATGGTGCTAATCATAATTATCTTAAACAGATTACTCGTTATGACTCTCTTCACAAATGCCTGACATTGAGTATCTTTCCTCCTGTCAAAAAGTTGAATAAGAGGTATGATTATCTCACAACACAGCAAGATCCCCAAATAATAAATAGCTTTTTGTAGGGACTAGAGCAGTGATGGTGAACCTATGACACACGTGTCAGAGGTGACACACGAACTCATTTTTTTGGTTGATTTTTCTTTGTTAAATGGCATTTAAATATATAAAATAAATATCAAAAATATAAGTCTTTGTTTTACTATGATTGCAAATATCAAAAAATTTCTATATGTGACACGGCACCAGAGTTAAGTTAGGGTTTTTCAAAATGCTGGCACGCCGAGCTCAAAAGGTTCGCCATCACTGGACTAGATTCTGCTTTCCCCCTTCTGTGAATATAAGTTTATATATACTTTAAAATTTGCAATGAAATACTGACTGAATGTCCACTGAAATATGTATGATGATTACTATCCTCATTCAGTTTCTCAGTTCTTTCTCTCTGGACCTCTGAAACAGAATAGTAACCACTCCTTCTCAAACAAACAAAGCATCATCATTATTTACTCATCTGACAAATTTTTATTGAGTTCCTACTACATGCCAGACATTACAGTGGGCACTGGAGGTATAAAATGAGCAAAACTAAATACTGTCGGTCTAGTAAGGAAAACAGGTAATAATCAAATAATCACCCAGACCGGTACCTACAAATCAATGAAAATACAAATGCCAATGAACTTTCCCCAAAATGTTCAGCAGCACTACTAATCAGGGAGATGGAAAATAAGTAAAACCATTCTTTTTGTTTATAAAATTAGCAAAGTCTTAAACATGATAATATTTAATGCTGGCAAAAGTATAGTGTGTTGGAGCATTCTCATAAACTGCCAGGGGAAATGTAAATTCATACTTTTCTGAAAAGCCTTAGAACTGTTCCTATCCTCTGACCCAAGAAATCTACCCCAAAAGAATACAATCTGACAAAAGAATACAAACAGTGACGTGGGCCACGTGTGTTTATCCCAGCATTATTTACAGTAGTGAGAACTTAGAAATGATTTAAAAGTCTAACAAAAAGGACTGGTTAAGTAAATTATAGCACATCCATCTCAGGGAATATTATACAGATACTAAAATATGTCTATCCATTTTTCATGGTTTAGAAAAATGTTTATGATCCATTGGGTAGCAAAACACAAAGACAGCCCTTGCTGGGTAGCTCAATTGGTTAGAGTGTTGTCCCAATACACCAAGGTTGCAGGTTTGATCCCCGGTCAGGGCACATACAAGAATCAACCAATGAATGCATAAATAAGTAAAACAACAAGTCGATTCCATCTCTCTCTCTCTCTCTCTCTCTCAAATCAATAAAAAAAAAATTTAACACGAAAACAAAATAAGATATGAAATTCTCTACTCAAAATTATCACAACTGTACAAAAATGAGTAGAAGAAAACTTGGCAGGAAATATGCCAAAATGTTGATAGTGGTGAGGTTGGAGGTGATTCTTATTCCTGTTTGTTTATATTTACCTGTGCTTTGCAATTTTTCTCTAAGAATATAACTTTTTTTTCATTATATATAACAAATGAACACATTCTCACACAGTAAAAAAAAAATACAGAATGTATATACTTTTATATTGTATAAAAACAAGATATTCAATTTATCTGATTTGAGATAGGGTCAATTATCCAAAAAAAAAAAAAGGCATTCAAATTATCTAACACAGTAGTTAACAAAAAAAAGACAAAATGAAGTCAAACTACTCATTCAGTCTACAGGCCAAATAAGAGCATGACTGAATATTTGACTCAACCAGCCAGTCGTGATACTAAAGCCAAAGAAGTAAAATGTTTGGCTGAGCCTTCATAAAACCTCACCAGAGAAACCAGGTTATCGAGGACGTGCATCTCAATCTAAGAAATGGATGAGTGCCTGTGGGGAAAGGCTGAGAGCACTGGCACCCTGCTACCACTGCTATTGCACATTTCTTAATAAGCAATAGAAATAGAGAATATTTACTGAAATGTCCTGAGTCTTTCCCAGAACATCGATGCATTATCCAACAGGGTACTGGGAATGATCCTTGGGCGGATATGATGATATAAACGTCGAGACATTTTCCCAATGTTCAATTTTTATTCCTCGCTTTTGTCGTCTAACAGGAAATCTCTGCTTAGGGATTTCCTCGGCATCTAGATTCCAGAGACCTCAGAGAAGGATCCACGAGGAGAATCTTTGCTTTATGAGGTCATTCTTGGGCATTCTAATACATGACTAGTCCACAGGCCCCTGCCGGGGCAAGCTCCCCAGCCGATCTATGCACAGATCCTCTCTTCCCAAGGAGACTGTGCACCTCAGTTCAGCAAAAACAGTTGTGAGCACACTGCAACTGTGAAGTTCCGGGCTAAAACTGGGAGCTGGAGATAGGCCAGATGAAAACCTCTTCTTCTTCACCAAGTACTCTGATCTGACAGACTAAGGTCCTTAGTACTATGTTCCAATAAGTAGGGGTTATAGAAGAGTGGAAAGCAAGGGGTTCTAAGAGCAAGTGCACAGCACTGGAAACACCTGGAAGGGCAAGGAAAGGTTTTGATAGGTTTGGAGCTAGAACATAAGAAACAGATGCTAAGTGGGGGCATGGAATGTACACATATGAACCACTTAGACTAGAGTGTAAGGGATGAGCCCATGGGGAGATGTTTTAGGTACAAGAGCAACAGAATTTTTTGCTCTGTTCAATTCTTGGGATTAATATATTTCCCTTGCTTGCCTTCTCCTATCGTCTTTGGTTTTTAAAACAAATCAAGACAAAGGGATCTGGGTAGCCCTGTTGTATTAAATCTTCAGTGGCTCAATTAGTCAAATTCCTGGAAACCTAAGTTCTTGGGCCACAAGAAAAGGAGGTGACCACCCACCACCTCCGCTGTCCCAGGTGTTCTAAAACAATGTATATGACCATTCCTTGTAGAAAAGTACTCTTGTAGGCAACCCATATACTAAACTGGGTAATAACATCCTATTTACTCAATTTTTCCACTTAAAATCATCAACAGTCAGCCCTAGTCAGTTTGGCTCAGTGAATAGAGCATCAGCCTGCAGACCAAAGGGTCCCGGGTTCAATTCCAGTCATGGTCATGTACCTTGTCCGGGCACTGGTTGGAGCATGTGCGGGAGGCAACCAATCAATGTGTTTCTCTCACATCAATGTTTCTCTCTGCCTTTCCCTCTCTTTTACACTCTAAAAGATCAGTGAAAAAATATCCTTAGGTGAAGATGAACAAAACAATAAAAAATCATCAACAATCAAGTTTTAAGACTCACTTTGATTAATGTCCCAAGATTCAAACTTTAGTCTCATCTTTTCAATTGACACTCTCTCCCTCAGGAATCAGCTCCTTCTATACCTCTTATTGCCTCCTTTGGTCATATGCCCCCCTAATGCCTTCTGGGCTCCAGCCTAACATCCCCAGAGTGGATTCCTAGAGCAGTTGTTCAGATAGAGACTGAATCAGGTCTGTCTCCACCTGCCCCAATACATCAATGTGTCAAATCCCTTTGGGGGCATATAGAAGGCCCTCAGTGAGTGTGTGCTATATGAATATACAAATGAATGGCACCAGAGATCCTAGGCTCACTCAAGTAGCTGAGCATAGTGGAATTCCATCTCCAGGAACCCCAGCTGTACACTTTTATGTCTTCCTTTTTTCAGCACCAGAGCCATGGAGAAATGAAGAAGAGAATAAGAATGTAAAGAATTCTTCATGATGCCTGGAGGGGTGAGGAATGATGGTCCTCTGAGAGTAGCAGAGGAGGGCCCAGTTGTCCTTAGTGCACTGCTTCCATCAGAAAATCTCTGCTGAGGGATTTCCTCGGCATCCACAGCTAAATGTGGCTCTGAAGTCACTGATGAAGACATGTCACCTGGGAATGGAACTCCAGCTGGTGAATGGAGTCAGAGGTGACAAGCTTCTCTGGGTTCACTGAAATCACCCAGACCTTCTCATGGACACGTGGGCATCCTGGGATGAGAAGCCAAAGGAGGGCCTCTTCTGCCCTTCAGCGGCAACTCACACTCTGCCGGACTTGGGCAGCACCACCTCAGCTGCACACAGCAGGGAAAGTCAGCAGTTAGCAGGCATGGCAGCTTGGTGACTCAAGTCTTTTGGCCAAGAGTCATTCCTTTACTCGTCCCAGTATCTGCCACTGAAACACAAATCTCACATATTAAAGTCAAGCTCTATTTCAGCTCTTGCTGCTCTATAGGAAATTTTACAAAACTGGAAGTTACAGAGTTCAACCAGTATATTTTTGATTGCTAAATTAGACAGTATAAAGACTGCTTCATACCAACACTAGTAGCCCCAATCCTATATAATATAACCCTACTAAGCAAATCGACCAAAAGGCGGAATGAACAGCAGAACAACCGGTCACTATGATGCGCACTGACCACCAGGGGGCAAACACTCAACACAGAAGCTGCCCCCGGTGATCAGTGCACTCCCACAGAGAGCACCACTCAGCCAGAACCCAGGCTCACGGCTGGTGAGTGCAGCAGTGGTGGCAGGAGCCTCTCCCACCTCCACGGCAGCGCTAATCAAGCTGAGCAATAAGGAGCAGCAGGCAGGTGAGCGGTAAGGAGCGAGGGGTCCCGGAATGCGAGAGGGCACAGTCTGGGCTGAAAAACCCCCCTTCCCCTGTGCATGAATTTCATGCACCAGGCCTCTAGTACTTTAATAAAAGTTCAGGCTTGTGTTAAAAAATATACATGCTGCTGCTTTTTGTCTAGAACAAAGACATAAAAACCATGTCTAGTCTATGTATCCAAATATTTCCTAAATATTTTTAATGTCAGAAAGTAACCATTATGAAAAGAACTTTCATTTCGGGCTGGCCCTGGTTTGTTACATTGAAGGGGTCATTGGTCATATCTATTTAACTCTTCTCTACTCTAGTGATCATTTAGAAAGAAAATGGAAGAAAACCAAAACTTACCACATCACAGACACCAGTGCCATCACACAAAGATTTGGAACAGAAGGAAACTTGAGGGCCTCCAACCTTGGCAATGTCCTTTCAAGTTGAAATGTCAGTTACTTGAAGCAATTCTGGGGATTCATTCTGTTACAATTTACCACAATGAGTATTTCCATAAACTTAGTATAGGACCTTTGATTCTCTATAGTATAAGTTTGTGAGTTCAAGCAGATGTGACACCCTTAACATGAACCTTATGTCAATCCTCCATGTACATGCTAATTAGTAGCTGCATTCTCAGGTCTTCACCATTGCAATTATGAGCCATATCCTGCTTTCTCTAGTGTGCTATATAGGTGTATATTAACAGCCACTGAGTTTAGCCTCTCAGACTTACATTTAAAATAGGAAAAGGTTTCCATTCAGGGTACAGTGAAACAAGTTAAATTATAGCACAAGAGAACAAACAAATCCAGAAGGTGGAATATTCTACAGGATCCCTGACCCCGTTTTTGCAATAGTCAATGACATGGGGAAGGGGGGAGGGGAAAACAGAGGGGAATTTGCTTGCTCTAGATCAGCGGTTCTCAACCTGTGGGTCGCGATCCCTTTGGGGATTGAACGACCCTTTCACAGGGGTCGCCTAAGACCATCGGAAAACACATATATAATTACATATTGTTTTTGTGATTAATCACTATGCTTTAATTATGTTCAATTTGTAACAATGAAAATTCATCCTGCATATCAGATATTTACATTACGATTCATAACAGTAGCAAAATTACAGTTATGAAGTAGCAACGAAAATAATTTTATGGTTGGGGGTCACCACAACATGAGGAACTGTATTAAAGGGTTGCGGCATTAGGAAGGTTGAGAACCACTGCTCTAGATTGAAAGATTAAGAAAACACAACCAGATGTGGTGGCTGGACTTGATGTGGATCCTGATTAGAACAAAATTACTGTCCAACCACATTTTTTACCTTCAGGGCAATTGATTTTGCCCGGGTATTAGGTAATACCAAGAAATCATGGTTTATTGTTAGGTGTGATAATGGCATTCTGGTTAATACAAGAAAATTACCCTATTTTCTAGAGATATTTACTGAAGGATGTGGGGGTAAAATGAAATGCTATCAGGGAAATACTTTAGCAAAGAAGAAGGAAATGAGGGATTATATGAAGTATCTGGGGCAAAATATTGGTAATTGCTAAATCTACCTGATCAGTACATAAGGGTTCAATTTACTATTCACTTTTTAAAAATTAAATTTATTGGGGTAACATTGGTTAATACAGTCATATAGGTTTCAGGTGTGGGTTTCTATGTTACAAGTTCTATATACTGCATTGCGTGCCCACCACCCAAAGATTTGACCCAAAGTCAAATCTTCTCCCATCACCATATATTAGGCAGTATTATTCACTCTTAAAATATTTTTTCATGTTTAAAAACTCATGTAAAAAAAAATGAAGTACTGAACTAAAATATTTGGTAATAAAACATAAAAGTTCCTCAAAATCTATAAATAAGAGTTTATAAAAACACAGCTTTGCCTTTTCTTCTAAAAGAATTTTAAGAAGCATAAGTTCTAGCACCCAGGCTCTGGGTCCCCGGCAGCACAGAGTCTGGGTGGCCTTTTTCTCCCCTCCTTGCACACTCCATATCCACAGGGCAAACTGTACCTGCCTCTCCTGGGCCAACAGAACCAGCCAGGAATTAGCTTCAGAGAGCTCAGCCTCCTTGTTATGTTCCTATTGAGTTTCTCAAATTGGAGGCTGGGGAAGGGTGGGGAGGGGAAGGTTTGCTTGTTGTAATGCAGAGTGAATTTTCTGGCCTCTAAAGTGAGGTGGGTTTCAAAGATGATTCCTATTAAATCCTCCCACAATAATGCTTTGAAAGATTAACACGTGTTCCTTGGATGAATATATATGTATACATTCTTTTAATCTACATTCTAAGCTCATTAATAAGTACATTTCTGAGTTCCTTCAAAGAATGCTTATTGCAATTTTTAAATAATAGATTACTTTATATTCCAGTTTACTCCTGTCAGTAAAACAAGGAGTAAATAGAGTTCATTACTGGATAATACCCAAGTAGTTTCTAGCTCAACGGCTATGAACCTTCAGTTCAGAGGTCAGAGGTTCTGGAAGCTATGGACGAAACACTTGTCCTCTTCCTTCAACTGCCTGCCTGAAAAGTAAGAATAAAATACAAGACAGCTCACCCAATTTTTGTGACTTTGTAAATCTAATTAATAACAGCAGCTAAAGAATCAATTTTAACTTCATAAGAATTGTTACAGATGGTTACAACCCTTTACCTACAGAGCTTATCATTCTTTTTCTACCTTACAACTATTCTCTAACACAATGCATTTGTAAAGTCAACATAATCACTTGAATTTCCAGGTTATAAAATGTGTGAATGCTCCTCCATCCCAATTTCTGGTCTTTAAAAATGCTACTTCTCTTTTTCAATACTGTATTATTAATACAACTACCTCGGTTGGTATGCCTTATATATGTGACTTAGATATAATGAAAAATACCTCAGGCTCAAATTTAAGTCATTTTGTATTTAAGCACTGATTTTACAAAATGTGGTAGAAAGGTGAACTGAATTTTCAGCTTAATTTGTTCAAAGTACATTACACCTAAGATGTGTATAAGATTTTACAAGCATTTTGAAAGAAATCACAAAGAAGCAGCTGCTTTTTCAATAAACTTGGCCAGTTTCACGTCTCTTTTGGTCAGTTGACCACAGTCATGCGAGGTGAGAGTTATCTGGACCTAAGAAAGAAAGAAGCAGTTTTTAAAACCCTGACCTGCGATTTGTGGTATACTGCTTTCGTGGTTCAGAAATCAATCTATTATGCAACATTCATATTTAAGAACTGGTCAGAGTAAATTATTTAGAAAACATGAATAAATAGGACATTTCCAAAACCCAGTAAACTCCAGGGGCACAGTCAGCTTCAGGCTGGCCCCAGCAGCTGCCCAGGGATGAAAAGGTTCTCTCATACGAAGGGCAATTCAGCTGCCAGAATCTCAAATTTTGTCTCTTGAAAAAAAGAGAGAGAGAGAGAGAGAGAGAGAGAGAGACTGAGATTTCATTTGAACTCCCATTACTTTAATTATACCCACTATTTTCAGGACGTTGAGAAAAACCAAGCTATCAAAGGTAATATCTTTGCAACATTAAAAAGGCCCATTTCCAAATTAGGAAAGTGAGGTGGGTGTGGGATGAAAGAATAGACTCTTGCTTCTTTGCAAATCAATTAAAAGGCAAAAGCAAAGTTATGGGCAAGGAGAGGCAACTGTGAAAGAAAAGTTTATCCTGATACCTACATGCTCTGAATTATTCCAATAAATCACAAAAATATGAAATTTTCTCTTTATTCAAAGAGGACTTTCAAAGAGAAAAAAGAACCCCAGAAAAAACTAGATAAATTCTAAATGGTATGACCATAGGCAAGGACACTTTTTGAGGGGTATTCTTCTCACTATGCCCCTTTAAAATTAATTGATGAAATCTTTTCAGTCTGCTGTTTGTCTTAAGAAGGTCAGTTCCCACTGCAGAAACAGCATTTAATAAAGTTATTATTTAAAGAACAGCTTTTGAGCAAATTTACCTCGAGATATTTACTTCCGATTTTTTTCAATAATTTACCTTAATAGGGTTTAACATTTTATCTGCATGGCTGATATTCAAGTTTAATTCAGGAGCCTAATATGGCCCAACTTTCATATTAGTTTCAACAGAAGACAAACATGAAAATAAAGGGCTTAGTCACGGTTCTCTTGAGCAGATCTGAAAATTTGTTACTAAATTGCAATAATACACAGGGGTTCTGAGAGAGAAAAAAAAAAGAATACTTTCCTAAACACAATGACATTTAGCTGTACAGGATGACAAGGAAGAAAGAGGTTTCCTAAACTCCATAATTCAGGTGATCCCAAAATAAGGCAATTTCATTACCTTGTTATAGGCATTGAACCATTCCGGGTGATGATTCATCTTCTCTGCTTGTAGAGCAACTCGAGACATAAAGCCAAAGGCCTGCATAAGAAGAAGTCGAAAGTGATTACTGGCACTGCCCTCTGCCCTGGACCTGAGAGAGACCCCAGAGCAATCCAACCAGATAAAGACACGGCTAGGGTCCTGAGGGAAGCCTGGAGAAACCAAATACAAACGGGACTGCTCTCCGCAGAGCTGGGTAACGGTGTAGCAGGACCATGACCTGCTGCTCAATGGTGAAAACAATCAGGCTCAAATAAACAAAGCAGGAAATTGGTCTCACCCAGTGACCTGTCTGGACTGTTTAATTGTCCTCAGGACTAGACTCTCCAAAATAGCCCGGGAATAATTTCCCTTTAACCAGTGCCCTGGACCCCAACTCTTAGGAGCCACTTTTCTGGCAGCACTGCTCTTCTGTTTTTAGTGACTGGGCTGTTAACAAGGTATCAACCTCAGGACTATGGAAGAATGTCTTTTGAGTGTGTCTTAAACCCAAAGCACTGACAGAAATGAACAACTTCCCTATTCTGTCTCTCAGGCAGGTCAGGAGGGGGTGAAACTCTTTTTATTGACATCCAGAATGAAACAAAAGTTTGGCTTGCCTGCTGGGGTCTTCTTGCCGCTGCCCAGCATTGGCAATTCAAGCAGAAAGTGCCCCAGCTTTTGGCAGAGCCCACAGGCGGAGGGCTCTGTCTTCATACCACAGGGAAAGTGCAAACTTAATTTTAAAAAGCAGAAGGCAGCCCGGGCCAGCATGGCTCAGTGGTTGAGCAACGACCTATGAACCAGAAGGTCATGGTTCAATTCCCAGATAGAGCACATGCCTGGGTTGTGGACTTGATCCCCAGTGTGGGGCGTGTGGAGGCAGCCAATCAATGATTCTCTCTCATCATTGATGTTTCTATCCCTCTTTCTCTCTTCCCTCCTCTCTAAAATCAATGAAAAAATATACATATTTTTTTAAAAAAGCAGAATGCAAACTTGTCCTGAGAGGGGAAAAAACTTTTTTTCCTGCTTTCAAATTTTTATGAGGTGAATTGCAAACAATAGGAGAGTCTGTCTCTATTGTGCCCAGAAGGCAAAAATACTTGGTAAGACTCAGGTAAGGTCACATTAATCACTAAGGTACAGTGGAATTCACAGAGCAGTCCCCATTACAGCCACAGAAATAAATATTTAACTTCATTACCCATCCAGAAAAACCAATCTGATGTTAGTTGCGCTGTTTTTGGATCACCAAAAAACAAAAGAGCGCATTTCCAAGTTAAAAGTGAGAAATATGGAAGATGCCATTTTAAATAATTTCATTCATAATAGTTCCTATCTCAGAAGTCACTTTATTCAGGATAAATTTCCATTTTGACATTTAAGGCCTAAAGGAAGGAAATTCAAGCAAAATCCACTTAACCAAGTATGGAATTATCAGTGGGAAAGCACTATTTCCTCTCTACCCCTTCTCATTGCAACAGTTCTCCCCACCCCATGCACAGTTTCGCTTTCCATGGTTTCAATTACAGCGGTCAACCACGGTCTGAAAATATTAAATGGAAAATTACAGAAATAAACAATTCATAAGTTTTAAATTGTGCACTGTTCTCAGTAGTGTGATGAAACCTTGCATTGTCCCCCTCATCCTGCCCAGGACATGAATCATTCCTTTGTCCAGCATATCTACACTGTATACACTACCCGCCCATTAGTCACTTAGTAGCTGTCTCGGTTATCAGACCAGTCATCAAAGAGAAAGAGACCACAGTCACATAACTTTTATTATAATATACTAGAGGCCTGGTACACAAAATTCGTGCACGGGTAGGGTCCCTAAAGGCCAATCTGTGAGGCGACAGCAGGGTGATCTGGCGGGCCCCCGCTGGCACCCGCCTTGGCCAGTCTGGCACTGCCTGCTTGCCGGCCCCACCCCCTCACCACCGCTGCCGGTCACCCCCCTCGGCGAGGTGACCAGTGGGGCAATCCCGAACCCCCACTAGCACCCACCTTGGCTGGCCTGGCGCCTGTGGGCTGGGGGGAGCCCCTACATTGAGCATCTGCCCCTTGGTGGTCAGTGCACATCATAGCGACCGGTTGTTCTGCCAGTCGTTCTGCCATTCAGTCAATTTGCATATTAGGCTCTTATTATATAGGATTGTTATAATTGTTCTATTTTATTATTAGTTATTGCTGTTAATCTCTTACTGTGCCTAACTTATAAATTAAACTTTATCAGAGGTATGTATGTATAGGAAAAACATTATATATATATGGTTCAGTACTATCTACAGTTTTAGGCATCCACAGAGGTCCTGGAATGTATTGTCCACAAATAAAGAAGAATACTGTAATCTGATTTTCTAGACTATGTGAGGGGAAGGGACAAGTCAAATGTGAAAGTCAGTTTTAATTATTCAAACACAGAGTTAACTTGTATTAAATGATGCATGAGAATTTTTACTGTTTGTCTATAATGCCTTATTCTTGTTTACACATTGTATGCGGGAAACGTATTTATACGTTTTACGTTGACTTGTAGTAAGTAGAGCGCGGGACACGTATTAATACGTTTTTTTATAGACTAGCGGTAGAATGCGGGTAACGTATAAATACGTAAACTAAAGTTATCGTAATTTTACTGAACGTTGCCATTTGCGCAAAAAATTAGCAAAAATGGCCCACGCCACCCGCCACCTATTAGCGAGCGATAAAAACTACCCGCAAACAATGTGTTTAGCTTTAGAATACTTATAAGATTAACCACCTCTGAGAGACAGTAATATAGTCATTAAGGATATGTGCTTTTGAGCTAGTGAGTTCTGGATTCAAATCCCAACTCTACTACTTAACTGCCATACAATTTACCTCTAAGCCTTAGTTTTCTCATCAGTAAAATGGGGATAATAATAAAAAGCTCATGTTATCTGAGTGGGGGGGGGGATAGGGGGGGAATGTGGGGATAAGGACACATATGTAATAACTTAATCAATAAAACAATTAATTTTTTTAAAAAGTTCATGTTATCATTCTAACAAAAAATAAGACAGGGGATATCAATGCACTTGGCACAGCACTAGGCACAGAGTAAAAGGTCAATAATGGCACATACTGCTACCACTGCTGCTTCTGGCCGAACTTAACAAAACATAATGATGGATGACAAGCCTTCCCAAGCCCTGAGAATCTAAGATTCCAGTTGCTGTCTCCCAGAAGAATAGCCCTTTCCTTTTTCCATGTGCCAGGACTAGAGATTGATACACATATACCTGACAATAGATAATATACTGTAGGGTAACACTATGATGAACATTTACTGGGAGAGAAACCAAGATGGCGGCATAGGTAAATACCGGAAATTGCTGCCTCGCACAACCACTTCAAAAATACAACTAAAAGACAAAACGGACATCATCCAGAACCACAGGAAGGCTGGCTGAGTGGAAATTCTACAACTAGAAGAAAAGAGAAAAGCACACTGAGACTCAGAGGAGGTGCGGAAGTAAAGTGCAGAGGTACGGAGGCGCACGTGGAAAGGGCTGGCAGTTGAGGACACGGCACACATGGAAAGGGCTGGCAGCTGAGGATGCGGCGCATGAGGAAAGGGCTGGCAGCTGCGGACGCGGTTCTTTTTCAATCAGGACGGAGTCTCAAGCTCCTGACTGCTCTGAACTCCAGTTCCAGGTGAGTCTCTGGGGACCCAGACTCATACAGGAGAAACTGGACTGTCTGGCATC